TAGAATTCTATCTCAATTCCATTCATTTTTGTATAGCCCTAAATAACAACAGTAATTATCTCGGAGGAGAAAAAAAAAAAAAAATCAGAGAACCAAAAAAAATGCAATGATCAAATTCACATTGCTATTGGTCCATAAGGGGCAGATGACCAATGTTGATAAAGTCCATAAATGTTGTTGAATGTTGAGGGTCCGGGATCATAAACCACTGTTCTTGGACCCTTCTGCATTAAAAAAACTTAATGAGATAATAAGTGAGAAACCTCGGGGACGGGCTGTAGATCCAGGACTCAGGACGTTCGACTCATCACAAAAATAGTTTACAAAATAGAATAGAAATGATTAAAGAGTTATATGGTGTGTATAGAATAGTTCGATGCAAATCATTTTTATATTAATTCATTCAATCATTTTCAGCCACTTCATCAAACCATTTGGACGCGAGGATGGCTTCTCTGTCAGTGAGAAAACTGCTTTGGTCTTTGAGTTTGTGAAGTGTCTTGCCCAGGGACACAGCAGACATCACTGGGAGAGCAGGTGACAGGTCTGGGGGTCGCTTGGGGGGGTGGGGGGGATCAAACCCACAACCACAGTGTCCAAAGACCGACGCTCTCGAAACTGAGCCACTGTCGCCTCCATCATTGTCATCTTATTGTTATAGAGATGATCATGGGATGGAGTAGCTAATTTTTCACAGTTTCATTCATACCTTGTTTTTGTCCCAACAGAAACAGTCTGGTTTAAGTCATATTGTAACACATCCGACCACAACATGCTCTGTTGCATATTGAGAGAATGAGGGTGGTCCTTTCTGAATGGTCTGGAGAAGATGATCTAAAAATGCGTGCGTGTGAAAACCAGCGATGGAGAGCTGTGATGGATGTTGTGAGAGCGAGAAACTAGTTAGATGGATTTTATTACGTAGCTGTAGTTTAGTTTTTGTGTGGGTTCAAAGTTGGTTCACGCCAGCTTTAATTTAAAAAAATGAATGAGTTTTGTTTAAACATTTTGTGGTGTAGAGGCTACCCCCAATGTCCTCATTGTAATAACTGGAAACAGAAATGACTTCTACAACACCATTTCAGACTTAGTTACATTTTTCTTTTTTCTTTGGAGTCCTTCACTAATGGATTCTAGTTAAAACCACGACACTGCAAAAAAAAAAAAAAAAAAAAACAAGGTCTGTCAATGGGACAAAGCCATTTAATCTTATTTCAAAAACCTTTTTTAATTCCAGAGGAGCCATTACTTGTATCTTTTTAAAACAAGATAATTTTGCTTGTCCCATTGCCAAATCTTGTTTTAAGGCAGTCAAAAAGGGCAAAATTAACATACGTTTAATGTTAAGTTTTGACTTTTTTTCATCACTTTTTTGCAGTGTAACCTTATACTGTCATGTATATGATCCAACGTATTCACTAATGAAAAATGATAGTAGTGCTATAACTGTACGGGGAGTCTAATGTAAATGAGCAAACAGCCTGCTGCAGTGAAATACTGCTGTGAGAGGGCTGGGTCTACTGTTTTTCAGATCTGATGCCACCAAAGCTATCTTAATGCCCTGCTTACGCTGTGGCTGTGTCAAAATACTGCAATAACACAACAATAAGCGAGCGAACACCTGCATACATAGATCTGCTGCCGTCTCCTTGTAATAAAACCCCCATATCGCTTTCTTAGTCCATACATTCTTCATTATCATATCTGGTCCAAAAAACACAGGCCTGGGAATCCCTCGCACTGTTGGGATCAGAGCTGCGGTGATAGCGACTAAAGCTGTACAGATCAGCACAAAATCATTTAAAAAGGTTGTATTTTTAGAAGCAGATAAAGTAAGACGCCGCAGTTCCTCAGGCAAAGAGCAGGAGGGCGGGCGGTATCGGGGAGGATTTAGCCCCAGCTCAAACACTGAGCCACCTGGATCACGCAGCAAAAGGCCACACATGGCTCCAACTTGTGGGGAGGGGGGAAATGCAGCAAACTTTATGAATTAATATAGGGATAAAAACGCCCTGGGAACTCATTGGAAAACCTTTAATGTCTGCAGAACTTTGGTTTTGAACTTTTTGGAAAACACAGAATACTTTCCCCCCATGTTTTATTGATGAACTAATACAACCATTGCATCAATATTTAGAGCTTGGACTTCTGCTGCGGTCTGCAAATGACAGCGTAAATTAGGAATGCACGATTTGGGAAAGATATCTAATCAGATTTTGTATAACAAGCATGGAGATTTCTGTGAGTGCATGTATGAAACAACTGAGATAAGCAGAGACTTCAAAAAAATGTAAAAAATGTAGATAACTGATTTGAATGCACCAGACATGTATCATTGTTTTTACCCCACCACATTTTAGATCTGTACTTTGTGACCGGTGTGACTTGTACCTGTGGTCTTGTGCTTTATCCCTCTGTCTCTTTCATGAACGCAGTGATGGGACCTGAAAACCTGGACTCCCTGTGGACCAGTCCCCAGTCCATCATCCTAGACTCTCCAGACTAGACCCATGGACCAGTCAACAGTCTTCCATTGAGGTATTGTGATGTTGTGATATTGGGCTGCAAGAAAACTTTGATTTTTTTTTTTTTTTTCACAAGTACGCAACAAAAATACAAAAAAATGAATAGGAGCAAGCACAGAATGTCTGAAAAATATGAAGACAACTACTGCTGCTGCTAATGCTGTGCTGCAAGCTAAACAGACTTCAATTAGCACATCATCATTGAAATCAAATCATACTTAATATAATTACTCCCTAATTCAAACACTTTGACATTTTCTGCATTTTTATTTTGTGCAGATGACTTCAGTAATGGCTGTCTTCTTCCTCTTGATTTCTCAAAACTAAAATTGCAATTTTGATTCGGTCGTGTGCAATTGCGCAGCCCCCACAGTGCTACATAGTGTTGGTTATGTCAAATTTACCAATACGTTTTGATTCTAGAATAAACTGATAGTATGTGTAACAGTTTAACAATGAAGTCAGAAAAAAAAAAAAAAAAAGTCCTATATTTGGACAATGGACCTCTGGACATGCATTGTAGATGTACTCAGACTTTAGTAGGAGTAGTAGTAGTAGTAGTTTTCATACCAAACATGTTTACTTCTATGTATTTCATAGTGTCAACATGAGTAAGAGGGGAGTGAACTTCTCTGTGATTGACCTGTGACTAAATAAAAATATATTTATAAACTGCACCACTTGTTTTGACTTGAATCTTGTCCTGCCAATTACATTTCGACTTCAGAATAAAACATCTATATTATGTAAATAGACGCTCTAGGGTTTTTTGTTTGGTCCCCACTTTGAACTTTACATGACACATCTTTATTGATTTCCATGTTTAATCTCCTCACGTCAGGAGTGTGCACATAAAATGAATTCAAGATAACCAAGAAACGCCAAACGCACAAGAGCAGGTGGTATCAGTGAGGCTTTGGTGAACTTCGAAACATATATCCACCGGATTGAGGAGAAAGAAAAGTCACACAGAGCCCAGATTGTAGAAAAACCCAATTATTTAACTTTATTAACATCAATGTTTTTGTCAACAGTTCTTTTAAATTCCAGTTCTTTATCAACAAATAGAAAACAGACTGTGTACAACAGGTCGAATCCCTACAGCACTAAGCATTCACAAGGTAGAAATGAAGAGATCGTTTTTTTACTTTTTTGCGCCAGCGTTTTTCAAGCCGCCTTCACCGCCCTGTCCCAGCAGCGCCCTCTTGTGTCAGTGTGTGGAAGGGGCGGCTCCTGTCGTTGTGCAGGGAGAAGGGGCTGGGGTTGTGCTGTTTCTCTCATTTCAAACCAGCTGTCCAGGATTACTATGAGATACAGTAGTTTACAATGATGTTTCCATAGACATAGACAGACAGCAGGCTTCTCCATGTTCAGCTCAAATATCCCAAAAACAATAGACTTCAAAGCTGTGGATATAGCTATGTGTAATTGTACATATATATAATCATTATTATATATATCTATATATTTATAGTTCTATTTCTGTATAAAATAATATCGCGTTCAGTCCAAAAGGGCTGAGTCTCTCTCCTTGTGTCGTCGGAATGGTTGATTCTGTACAGTCCTCACTTCACCCATGGTCGTGTGTTTCCATCCATCAGAGGGCGGCGAGGAAATGAAGAGCCGTGAGGAGCTTCAGAAATTGGGGGTTTTTCGTTCATGATTCGGGTACAAAAGTCAGTTTCGCTCGGTTAATATGGAGCGTGAAGGCCTCACCAACAAAATCATGTACAAATCGTGTGCTTTCGTTGCTGTACACGGCTGATTTTAGTCTTTCATTCGGTTTGACTCCATAAACCAACCATTTACATGACGCTAACGTGTGCTCCCAGACGAGATATAGCATCTGCATCGTTTACAGAGGATAGCGAGTAAAAAAAAGAAAGGCAAAGTTTGAATTGATGCGACCAAAAACGAAACGCAAACGTATTGGCCAGATGACCCACAGCACCCCTCGGCAGCTCGGAGAACAGAGGTCCTCCTGAGTTAGTATCTAGGAACGTGTTAAAAATACATGTCCCTTGTGCTAAAAGAACCCTAAAAAAAAAAACAATTATGAAAAATAATGCACTCCCCACGATGGGCAGTTTAAGACAGCATACATGTCCGACGTTAAAAATGATTAATAAAAACACGATAACATACTAAACAAAAACATTTCAGAGTATAGACAAAGAGAACTAGTCGAGATGGCGCCTCTCTACTGCTACCAGTGACAATCATCGACGTTTGGCCTGCACAGTCACTCAATGTTACTGGGGTCCTTTTTTTAAAGCGAAAAAAATCTCTTGTTGGTTGTAAAAGTCGTGGGCTTTTGTGTGTGTTGCTGTCCCCTTCTCTGGCAATCGTGTAGTGGGGGAGGAGGGAGGGGGGACTCAGAATGATTGGCAAATGTACGGTGGCTGAGAGGGGGGGGGGGGGACACGTGGCACGCTCCTGAGAGGTCCGACCGGGAGGCTGCGCGGTGTGGAGTGGTTACGTTGCATAGTGGTCAAAGCTCCCCAGGTACTCCAAGGCGGCGCGGTAGCACAGCTGGTATTGGTCCTACAGAGAAGAGAGAAATGACAGTATGATAAAAAGCGTGGGGAGAGGCTTATTTGGCTGCACGGCGACAACAGCCTGAGATTTGGTGGAGGCAAAGAAAAGCTAACGAGCTAAAGGTTAAGTGATTAGCAATTAGTCGAAGTGCTTGGCTAATTGTTTTGGATGGTTTTGGGGATGCTGACGAGGCGTTTGGACAGGTGGTTGTGTAAGAAGCGATTACGATTGAGATTTAATGGTAATTATACAACGGCGAAGCTATATATGCAGTTATTGCATTCTGAGTAGTGTCTGTTATGAAAACAAAAAAAAGCCATTATTTATAAATGTGTTCTGAAATAGAGTATGGATAGAATACTACTAAAATCAATAACAGAAATTAAGAAACATATGTGAGAAAAATGCAGGGAAACGTTTGGGGGAAACCTGGTCGATGTATAGAAAGTGTCCTGATTCAGAAGCTGCGAATTTGCGGCCTAAAAGGTTTAAAGTGGAGTTATCGTCCATTAGTCCAGGAGTGATCTACAGCGGGAAAACAAACCTCCTGACCCCCAACTAGGGCAGGACCTTAGTAGGTTCTCAACTGGTTCATTTTAACTGGACCAAATCTGGCTCATTTTAACTGGACCAAATCTGGCTCATTTTAACTGGACCAAATCTGGCTCATTTTAACTGGACCAAATCTGGCTCATTTTAACTGGACCAAATTTGGCTCATTTTAACTGGAACAAATCTGGTTCATTTTAACTGGACCAAATCTGGCTCATTTTAACTGGACTAAATCTAGTTCATTTTAACTGGACCAAATTTGGCTAATTTTAACTGGACCAAATCTAGTTGATTTTAACTGGACCAAATTTGGCTCATTTTAACTGGACCAAATTTGGCTCATTTTAACAGGACCAAATCTGGCTCATTTTAACAGGACCAAATCTGGCTCATTTTAACAGGACCAAATCTGGCTCATTTTAACAGGACCAAATCTGGCTCATTTTAACTGGACCAAATCGGATTCACTTAGGGCAAAAAAAGTACATGTATTAAAACAGATCTGTGAAGCATTTTTTACACTAGGGACCCAGACTTGGTTCAGACAAAGTGCAACCAATCACTTTTTTCTACTTCTTTGAACCATGCGGCTTTTATAGCAATGCAGCTAATATGTATATTTCTTTAATTGTAATAGACTAGACTGTCAGAGCAGAGTTTATGGACTTATTCTTTTGACTCCATCAAGTTGTCGTAGCAGCTGTTGAGTGACGTGTCCTCACCTCAGTCTGCACCATGGCGGGCCTCTGTGTCCGGAGCGTCTTGACGGTTTGGAACAGGTCAACCACGCCTTCGTACCTCATCCTCTCCAGGACGATGCTCAGGGTGATAAAGACCCCAGTCCGCCCCACTCCAGCACTGCAACACAGAACACAACAATGCACTCATTACCAAGAGGAGGGCAAAACGAGCACTCCAAACCCTGGCGCTGACACTGATCATTTAATTGAGCCAGAATAACACAGTCCTCTTAAGCAGCGCCAATTTGGAATCATTTTGTGGGCGATTGAAACAGTCCCACTAACCTGCAGTGTACAGTGATTGGTCCGTCCTGTCCAAACTGCTCCTTGGTTTTGTGCACTTGACCAATGAAATCGATGAAGCCCTCTCCCGTTTTTGGCACCCCCTGCTCAGGCCAGTCTGTGAACTGAAACTGGCGAATGGTTCTGGACTGTCCATCCTAGAGAGAGAGAGAGAGAGAGAGAGAGGGAGGGGTATAACTTTAGTGCATTCAAAACATTCACAGCTGCTGCTACTCAGATCCAATCATGTGCGTTCGCTTTTGGGCAAGATTTGTGGCAAAAAGAAGTGCATACTGAGCTGCAAAATCATGATAGAAACTCTGGATGTGAGTTGTGCAGGGACGTGCGGTGAGGTTTGTGATTGGGGAGGCACTGACTTTAAAAGTCAGATTTACAATCATTATTCAAATAAAATAGCATTTAATCACCAATGCAATGACATCCACAAACTTTATATACTGTAAAGATAAGAGAACCAGCTTCTTTTAATAATCTCACAACAAATCTAGCTGCTGACTCTGCTCCGCATCAAACAACATCTTTAAGAAGCGCAGGTGCGAGAGACGCGAGGAGAGAGAGACGCGAGGAGAGAGAGACGCGAGGAGAGAGGAGCAGAGAGAGACAGAGAGGAGCAGAGAGACGGAGACGCGAGGAGCAGAGAGAGACAGAGACGCGAGGAGAGAGGAGCAGAGAGAGACAGAGAGGAGCAGAGAGAGACGGAGACGGAGAGAGAGACGGAGAGAGAGGAGAGAGAGACGCGAGGAGAGAGAGACGCGAGGAACATAAACAATAATTTAAACAAGTTGCAGAACTCTTGAGCAGTGTTTGAATCAGTGTTTTTCGGAAAAGCACTACTTTGCCGGTATCTGTCAATGTTCAACATAAAACACAGATTAACAAACTCCTCCCCCGCAACCGGACTAACCTCGTAAGTCCAGTGGTGGTCTCCCAGTCTATATTAATTCTTTCTTTGTTTGAAAGTCCAATTGAGAAAAAAAATCTTCATTCAAATCATCCATTTTCCAGCAAAAGAAATAGCATTTTGGGCTGATTGTTTGTTAGCAACTCTGGTATGAACTTTATGCTCACTATCACCCCTAGCGGTGAGGCACAGATACCGCCTGCCTCACGCCAAGCTTTTTCCTTGTGTGTTCATCTACGATCAAAAGACTTAAACTAAATATAAATTGTACACACATACGTGCAATACACTACTAAACACTAAGAGGAGTTTAAAAAATGTTTTTAAAGCAGGATATTTGAAACAAACGGTGATATATCAACTGCACGAGCTGAGTGCACTCAGACACACACACACACACTGTGAGGGAGCGGTCTGGGGTGAGGCACGCAGGAGCGCTGCCTCACCTCGTCTCTTTGAATAGGAATAACGGGATTTCGGCGATTTTGACTTCAGAAATGATCAAAACTGATGGGAACCGTGCCGAATATACATTAAAAGCATAGGACAGTGGATATAAATTATATATTTAAACTAAAATAATTATTAGTTTCCAATAATGGCAGGTGAGGCTCTGCCTCCCCTGCCTCCCCTGACTGCACGTCCCTGCCATGGACCGTAGAAGCAGTGCTGACGTCACCTGTATTGTTTGCCTAATGTGGAAGATTAGTGCTAACGCTAACTGACGGGCTTTCTGTCAAAGAGCCGAACCCTAGCCAAGGCCTAAGCTTTAAGAGGACCCCTGCAGTCCCGTAAATAAAGAAGAAGAAGAAGAAGGGGGAAAAAAGGCGACCACGATAAGACCAAGCCAAGGCAGGTTGCTTCTGGCTAAAACTGCAAATATCCAATGCTAGCACGTCACTTCTACACAATGTAATCCAGGATTTACCGAGAATCAAACCAATTTAAACTGCTGCGAAACCAGGACGTACGTTACATAAAGCAGTTTTTTTGTGCTTTGTTCGCTTTCTAATTATGTAAAAAGTACAAGTTGAAAGAAGCATTAATGAGAGTCTGCAGAGGCCCGGCTGCAGCCTCTCATATCTGCTCTATAGATATATGAGAGTAACCCTGGCTGTGGGATTAGGAGACGGTGACAGCACTCTGTATTTATAGCCCATTGAAACCACTGCATCACAGGGACTTCCAGCTCTGGCCCTCAGGGGATCAGCTAGCTTTTCTCTTCCACCCCCTCCCTCCTCTCTCAGCTCCATCTCCACAAAACACGCACAACACTTGAAGCTTTCGTACAAGGTTAGAGCCGTGGCAGCGCGGTAAACATGCCTGATGGTGCGTTCGCGTGTCGCCAGGCTGTCAGGAGAAATAACACGCGGCATGGCACGTCCCTGGAACCACACCTCCTGCTGTTCGGGCTCCGCTGGGGTCGGAAGCTAAAATTAAGCGCGCCGTTGTGATGTTAAAGGCGTAAACAAAATAGGAAGTTAGGACCGTTTACGCAGTTTGTAAAAAAAATAGATGGCCGCAGATGAGATTGTCCTCGCCGATATAAATGTATACAACTTTATTTGACTAAAGGTGGGGGCTGACGAGGCAAGGCTAATGCTAATACTGTGCTCCAGAGACATGGAATTATACAGTAGATCTTTATCTATGTGGCCGCAGCAGCAGTAGCTCGCGCCTCTATTTCCATTTTAATACAACTCGCTATGGATAGTTTGTAAGGGATTGCCTTCTACACAAACATATGTATAGCTGTAATGAGGAAATGTGTGTTTCATTTACATTTGATGCACAGAAAACAAATCCAACCTGCACATAACATTGGTGTAATATGTGTGTATGGTAATGATTTTTCCAATGCCGGCTGTGGACCTCTAAGTCAGGGGTTCTTAATCTTAACTGGAGAAATGTCAGGACCCACCAACAACCAAGCCACGACCCAAATAAGACCTGAATGTAGATTATGAACATTATGAACCAAATAACTACATAACATTAGGGATATTGATACAAAGTTCATGTTTGTCTTTATTTTTGTCTGAATATTTAATGAGTGAAAGCTGGAGCCCTGCAAGTTTATAAGTGATTGATGACTGTTAATATCAATAATGGAAATAAATACAAGAAAAAGGATATTGGGAATTGTTTCTGGGGCCAGGTCGCTGTATAGAAACACATATTTTGGGGAGCAGTATACAAACTACACATACAAACTTAGATTACGGACAGATTGTATAAAGGGATTTAATTAGACTTTGATGTTGTCCAGGATTGCAACCCACTCAAAAAGATCCCGCGACCACTTTCCCGACCCACCAGTTGGCAGCCACAGTCCAGAGTTATTACGTTTTCAGACCATTTCAAACTATGGTGACGGGTGCCGTTGGGCGTAGGGTTTAAAAAGTCTTTTTAACCAGCAAAACGAAGAAGAGGATATATAAAAAGGTGTCTTCCCCATACTCCTGTTTGTTCATGCTGCATTAAAGTATTGACGATATATATAAAGTATGTGATATGATAATATGGACAAACAAATACATACAGTATATACACTTCCTGTCTGACTAATAATGACAAAAAACAAAGTTAACAAACACAAATATTGTATTAGTGAAATGTGCACAGACTTACTCTTGCATCTGTGACTTTGAACTCTCGGAGGATGTACTGAGGCATGTTGTACTCAGCCATGGGGTCCACCACGAAGTACTGGTACCTGGCAGAGCGCTCGGCGGGCCAGTACTGATGGCACTTCTCCTGAAGAGACAGTCAGACAAAGGGAGTTACGTAAAACATCCAGACTAGACTGAAAAGCACAGTGTTATTACAGGGGTCACTGTCATCTCTGGTGGAAAAATGTTTACATAATTCCATCTTAACTACGGAGGTAATGTGCACAGGAGCGTTTTATGAACTGTGATTATGGATGAGAGGCTGTTGAAAGCCATAAAAGCAGGTGAGTGCCGCCGCTTCAATCATCAGAGAATAACTTCATCCTCCACTCTGGATTCTCAGACACTTCTCTGCAGAGTCTGGTGGAATTTTGACGTTATGGATATAAGTCCATAAATTGAAGAGACACTACATTATCGTTCAAATTCAGTTTTTAAGAATATGATGCTGTAGTTTAAAACACAATTAAGGACTGATATGTGCATACGACTGCACATACTTCACTGCACATTTCATTCTGGCTGGATGATCTGAGAATAAAATACCAATCTTGATTTGTTTTCCCTATATTGACCAATCTCAATTTCTGACAAGATCTTTTTCATTTTCATTTTATAAAACTAATGCAATGACAAATGCAATGTTCTTTTATTGATCAAATAATTACAGATAAGTCATTATTGCAGTTTGATTTTAATTCAGGTCTCAATAATCAATCTATCAAAATCGAGATTGCGATCTTTTGGCCCATTGAGTTTTATACGGGAAGTCAGCACGGCAGTAACCATAGTGATATTGTTTACAAGAAAGAGCAGGTAGAAGTTTAGTCCTGGTTCACTTTAACTTCCAGACGGTGTACCTCCAGACACATGTTTACACTCGAGCTGAAGCCACTGAATATTTCAACAGTGTTTGTCTCAGAGTTTATCTGTTCCCGCTGCGGCTGTCTCTGTGCCTATGTCTCTTACCCGTCCCATCTCTCTCAGTTTGGTGAGCATCACTACGATGGTAGAGTTGTGTTCCCACAGCATCCTCCAGAAGTCCTCCGTGGTCTCAGCCAGCGGCCCCTGTGTGGCCAGGTAGGCCTTCTGCTGTCTGCAAGAGCCAAACAACAACTCAATATGAAAACAGGCTTATTAGGATGGACACATACACACAGCATCGCAGCTCAAAAGTATATAATAATCCATGACTCTTCTGGCCATGTTCCAGCTTCTTTCTTCTGGTAGATATTGTTCATTTGGGATGCAGGATTTTTTATGTTAAAAGCTTCTTTCTACAAGCTGTTTAGACAGTTTAATGATCTTGCACTTGTATTGAAACTGTTTTAGTTGATTGATTTCACGGTGACGACTGATTCTTGCACTTGTTTTATTGCTGCACTTTTTAACCTTTTTTATTTATGAATTGTCTGATGAACCCTTGAGACTTTTGTAAATATATTCCAATGTGGTTTTACTGCAAATGGTAAATAAATGAATCTGAATCTAATGCAGCACTTAGTAATACATATACGCTTCAATGTATGCAACAGCTTGTCTTTTCATTTCACTGAGATAAATTCAACCTTAAGATATTTCAATACAACTCTGTACTACATTATGTTGAATTATAGTAACTTCAGACTTTAATAAGAGTTTGAACCAATGGAACAAATCAAGACTGTTGTGTTACATAAAGAATAAACTTTGGTGACAGCGCTCTCTCGCTCAGACCACTGCTCCTAAAATGAAGAGTCCTTGTTGCTTTTGCTGGTAACAAGCTGCAGCGTGGTATAGGGCTCAGTCTTAAATGAGGTGTTTTATTCTCAAGTCGAGCCATTTGGTCAGCCCCTTTTTTCCTCTCATTTACTGTCTCTGTCCATTAAATGAGTGAATAAAACCCAGACAGACAAACTGTTGCAGACTACAAATGAAGCCAGGGCATAGAAGCCAAATCAGGTAACAAAGTACAACTAAATGTTTGACTGTGAATCCAGGGATTGTCCAAAGTGGAAAAAAGTATATGTCTGCAGCATTCTAACCAACATGATCATTTCCACTGATGCCATGTGCCCGGATGGCCTGAAAACAATGTTCCAAAGTCAAGTTCAACCACAACAATCCCAGTTGGTAATTGCATTCAAGATGGACGCTTGAGTCGGGATTAAACGGACAACCAAGACACCTTTGCCACAAAACCGCCATCCTCCAAGTGTTATTATCAACACTTATAAATGACAACACAATCACTTATGAACAGGATCAATACAATGAGACCATATATGAAAACTTAAAAAAGGATTAATCATTCAAATCATTATATATAAGGCCGTAACCATTGATCAGTGAATCACAACAGATCAATTATTGAAATAGTTGAGAACTGATATGGTAATCGATGTTGAATAACTACTACTATGAAGCCTTTTTAATAAAGCAACCCAATGTGTAACAAGTCATCTCTATGAAGATCTCCAGGGGCATCACTAATGTAAAAATAAAAAATTAAATTAAACAATGAATTAATAATTTGATAGAATAATTGGCATCCCTTATTATGAAAAAAAAAAAAAAGTATTAAGAGATGAAAAGCCTACTATTGCAACAGTTAAACGAATTAATGAAAATGTGATTAAGATTAAGGATTAAGATTAAGCGATCCTTTATTTGTCTCACAAAATATAATAAAATAAAATCTTTAACTCTAGCATAAAAAGAAGCAGCATAAAATCTCTATCTTTAGCAAAATGTAATGTGCAATCAGTTCTGTGGACGTGTGCTTTATTATCATATTTGTATATACTATTGTTCTACTTGTTTGTATTTTTGGACAAAGACAGTAGAGCAATTGTGTGTTTGTGGAGTCTTTTTTTCCTGCTTGTCCAACACAAAACAATCTAATCTAGGAGAAAGCTTCAGTGCAAGGGTTACTCCTGCCTAAATCCGCGCTTGTTCATTCCTGCGCAGACAAACCCCATGAGACAACACACTGGGCTGTGGATGCGCTCACTCATGGGACTTGTGTGTTGGTGTCCTACGTGACTAGGCTTTTGTTCTGCTGTTCCGCGAGTGCCCAGCGGATGGCACCAGCGCTCTAGCCAGCGAAAGGAGCTGCTTATGAAGCTGATGTGAGAGAGAGCGAAAAAGAGAGAGCAAGAGAGATGGATGGAGCTGGCGAAAGGATAGAGGAAGGAGAGTTACGACTGTGAGCGTCTAATGAAGGTGCTGCGGGCGACGTGCTAATGTGGAACTGGGAGATTAGGATGTGCTCCGGGCCTCAGCACACAAACAGAGAGACAACACCAGGGCGGGAGATGCAGATGTGTGAGGGAATCAAATTAGAGAGATGTAAACGCAAGAGAGAGGAGAGAGGTGTGCGTAAAGTCAGGCTAGAGAGGAGAGAAGATGATAAGCAGAAAGGAACATTTCCACAATACCCTTACTTTACTTTGATCTCTTTCAGGAAAGCAAAGAATCTGACTTGGATTTTGTATGCATGTTTTCATATGACCCGCAATAGGAGGGATTTGTGCATATCAATGTGACGCAAAAGGGACAATTCTGTATTCTGCAAGGTGCATCCTGATGTTCTGACTCAAACATTATAATCCTTTCTACCTATTATTTAGGCAATAGAATATTTAAATTGATATTACCATGTCTTAAATGTCTGCATGCTACTTCTACTGTGTGTAATTCTTGATATATCATGAAAAACCAATGTGTCTGTGACTTTTTTAGAGCAATACATTTTGTGCAAAGATCAAAACCAAATGATGTTACAAACTTGATTCCAGAGGTTCTAAGCTTTATATGAGGCGACAGTAGCTCAGATGGTAGAGCATTGGCCTTTGAGCCTGGAGGTTGTGGGTTCAATCCCAAAACAAGATTCTCCACCAACTCTCTCAGCTGTCTTTGTGTCCTTGGAAAGACACTTAACCTCTGGGAACACCAGGTGCCACAGTGGGGCGGCTGTAAACTGCCTCAGGCAAGACACTTCGCTCACATTAGAATGAGTCTGGTGTGTGTGTGAATGGTTGGTTGTGGTCAGAGGGGCACAAACTGTTTGCCTCGCTTCTGTCTGTGTGACCCAGGGCAGCTGTGGCTACAGTTTATCACCACCGTGTATGGAGTGAATGAATAATGACATCTGAAGCGTCTTTGATTCTCCAAAAAAGCACTTTATAAAACCGATGCATTATTATTACAAAGAGGTATAGCATGCATTTATTGGCAGAGCTGAAGTTGGCTGGATGACAGTGTGAACCTATGAACTTTTTATATTTCAACGGCTATTTTGATAGGGCCACATACAACGACACTGAGATCTGTGAAGACTCGCCCACTTTAAACATTACACATATTTTCTGTCTTTTGAATGTTCCATTTTCTCTTTGATGAGATGATTTTTGACTTGGCAAACCCATTGATGCACTCCCACTCCTTTATCAACATATTTAAATTGAGGTTGCTGCAAATATTTGTCATAGTTCAACAAGTACTTCACCATTTTTGACATGATTCACAAGGGAAATCACGCTACGTCACAGTGGCTCTGTATTTAAGGCCCTTCAGGGGAATAGGAGGTGGGTAGTGTGAGAATCTGAAAGTAGACAGACTTACAAAATAGACAATAATAATATACAAATCTACATAAATCTAGCCTGAGGTGACATTGACTATATATATATATTCAACGATATCATCACAATTACACTACTATCCCTGCTCTTTTTACTCTATTAAAGTGTAAACAGATCTGCAGGTGCATGACAATACAAAACATAAAGAGTCTGTAACAGAATTAGACTTGAATGGAACTTTTTGACATCTTATTTTTGGTCTCTTGTGTCCCAGAGCGTTGGAGGGGGGAAATCTGAGCACGGAAATGGAACCGGCGCGGAGGGAACAAACAGGAGCTAAGCAGCGGATGAAAGCTTGAGTCTAAATTGATAGTGTGGCCCCCTCTAACCTCGCTGCAACGAGACCCTCCGCCAAAACAAAAACAATCCTGCACCGTATCGCGTGGCTTCTGACTCCGCCAGCATCTCTCCTCCCGCGCGCTAGAGGACACGCAGTCGCTCCAGTCGACCTCATTACAATTGCTCAAGCCTGCATCAGAGGCACATCCACAGGCCCTGATAGTAGCACTAGCAACAGCAGCAGCAAGCGAGCAAACGAATCAATGGGCTCGCCTCTCATTAGCTTAGCGTATTATTGGCTCCTCTTCAAGGCGCTGTACGGCGGGGTGAAGGGCGCACTGGAGGCCCGGGTTTAGTTTGTATTTATCTATGCTAGGGCCTTTTAAACGTGGCTTAATTACACTGTGCCAGCGGCGAGCACAACAGGTCCCAACCCGGATGCGGCGATGTCTTGGAGACATGTCTTAGATGCAAAATGAAGGAAGGAAACGTTTCTGGATATATGGGCGTAAGTGAACGCATAATATATCCAAGTAATCTTTATTAATATAGCGCAGGGGCGACAGTGGCTCAGTAGGTAGCACATCGGTCTCAGAGCCTGAAGGTTGTAGTTCGAGACCACCACAAGACCTTCTCCACTAATGTCTGCTGTCGTTGTGTCCTTGGGCAAGACACTTAAAGCTGCATTAACTGACTTTATTTTTGTATTCATTACAAAAATGCTATCCATGTCCATGTAGCGCATTGGGATATACGTCCTTTTGAAGAAAAAGTAGCGCAGATTTGTGCTGGCGTGACATTATATTTTAGATCGAGTTTTGATGAAACAAGGAAGAGAAGTGTTTCGGGTCGCAGATTGTGACCAATCACAGCGGACCACTAGCCCCCACTTTCGTGAGAAATCTACAGGTCCGTTAGCACAGACAGCTGAGTTAGCACAACAAGCAGCGGAGCTAAGCTGAAGCTTCCTCGTCTTCGTCACCGGTTACTGCTTACACAGCGAAACAGCCATCCAAAAGAAAGTCCCATTCCTCCGCGCTTCCCGGTTCTATCGTTCTATGGTCACGCCATCCACGTGCAAATCCATATCCATGTATTTATCCATATTGGGAGGCGCTAGCTCCGTCAACAACAGTGGGTGTGTGTGGGGGGCGATAGCTTCATGGGTGCAGGGAGGGGAGCAGAAAGAGCGAGGCCAGCGGGGCCGCTGCTTCAAAATCCCAAAGTCAGTTAGTGCAGCTTTAATCCCACTTCCCACAATATATTGTTATTGATATATTGGTCAGAAATATACAATATGCCAATTTATGGCATAAATAAAAGAAAAATTACTCTTTATTTCATGATAAATAGAATGGAGATGCGTAATGTAGCCATATATTAAGTATTGATACCAAAATCATGTTTTTTTTAATTTTCAAAATCGATATTGATGCATATCGATAATCAAATCGCGGGAGAAAGTATCGCGATATATCAAAAAATCGACATATCGTCACACCCCTAACCATTCACTTTAGCATTTCTAGATAATTAAAATGGGATCATTTGAGCCACAATTGTCTCTACAGAATTCAAGCTTTATTCTGATGATAAAATAAAAGTGCAAACGTTGAGAGTTGTGGAAGCTGTCTGGGTATAATTAGCCTGTTTATGGCTACAGTAGGGTGGCAGGCCTGTGTGAAGAACCTTCATTAACACATGTGGAGGCTGCTGGCGAGTCCAAAATGTAACCCCCGTGGTCCGGCTGGTATTTCAGAGTCTCTGCTAAGACTGCCTTTCCAACAGTAAAGTTCAATCGCAGACCCTCTCTTCACGCCCGCAGACAGAAACCAAAGCCTCCGTTTTATCTGCGTCCCTCATGGAAGCAATTTGGACTAAAAGAGCGAGCGAGGACAATGGCAACACCAGTGATTCTGCCCACAGCCCACAGTGGACTCCTCACCGATACTTTTTCATCTGCTCCTCTCGCCTTTAATGGCTCAGACGCCTGACAAACGCCGCACCTGTCATATTAAGACTTGCCGACAAGCCGCTCCATAAAATCTACTTTTTCTGTTTTGGACGTCATAAAAAAGCAGCTAAAAGTGGATCTGGTTGAATTTATAGATGTTTACTTCCGAGCCGGGCCAGGTCTTTTTACGATCCTGATTTAAAAGGCAATGAGTGAGTGGGCATGTTGCTATTTGCTCTCATAAAGTTGGTCTATTTAATCAATCTTTTGGCATATGAATTATTAGTATTAGAATCCCTTCTCTGAAAGAAGCGAGCAAATAAAACCAGATGACTTGATTTAAATACTACAGACTAATTTATAAAATGACTTTTTTTTTTAACACACGATTGTAATGAACAGATGTGGAGTCAAAGGTAAAGTTCATTCTTGTAAGCCTTATATGTGGAGTCAAAACTGAGTTTTTGTGTGTCATTGCAGTCATAGTAAAGGGGCTAAGAAGTACTTTTTATTGAAACAGCAGTAAAATTAGACGAATTGTAAATGGAATCTTTGAAATCAGTTTAAGTTGGTGAACCTACCTTCATATCCTTTAAATATATTTTGCTGGGATTATTTGATGCTTTGAGCTGAGAACTGATTGGCTGCGTCCTCCCTTTGTTTTTATTTTCTGTCTGTGAAAGCTGATCTAAAGGCGTGAGAGAGGCCAAACAAAACGAGCATGTGAAAACTATTGATGAATGAGTTAGATGGCTGTTACTACTTTATTTCTTTGTGGTTTAAAAATAAGCACCCCAGCTATAAGGCAATTTTCACAAGCGACACAAAGCAGCTATTCAAAACCAAAGTGTGGAGATTGCCATCCGTAAGTCAAGTTCAAAGCTCAACAAACTGCTGACTAAACTTGATTCTTTTGACTGAAATATATTGTCATTAGTGAAAAAAGTATAATAAGAAACACATACAATGTTTTTTTGTAAGATTTTGAAATGTTCCGAAGTTCATGATCGCTCAAACAGCAGAGCACCCTTCTGTGCATATCATTTACCAGTTATTGTTCAGCTGCCATTAACGCAGCCATTTCCACCTCGCTTGTCGGCTTCCAACATGACACGTGGGCGGCAGAAACCGAAAATACTGTGAGAATTGACGGGTCTAAAGCACGCACAAGCAAAGGTACATCTGGGGCACTGGGGTTTAGGCATCAAAACCTCGGTGACTGAGTGAAATTAAAAAGTAAATGTGCACTAAAGTAAACGAAAGATTTACATGCTTGTATCCATAGACATGCCATATATATCTATATTTGTTACCTCTTCATAAATAATAACATTTTTGTATCAATGGGTAGATATAAAAAGTGAAATAACAAGAATACTAATGCCAAGTCAAGTTCAAGGCTGGTATTTCTAATTGATTTGTTATAAAACAAGTATAACAATAATCTACAGATACAAGGTTTTACATAAGGTTTTGAAATGTACTAAAGTTCATCATTCTGCATATATCGTTTATCTGTTTAAAGTCCTCCTGAGTCATACAGACTCGGCACGAGAATCAAACTCGCAGCCTGCGTGTGTAGAGGCCTTCCCACTTAATCACCAACCAATTTTGGCAAACCATCCCCTCTCCATAAAAACAGAAAAGGGTTTCAAACTAAACATAGAAATATATATTCAAAAAGTATTAAAACAACAAAAAAACATATCAAATGGAACAAGCAATAATTTCAAGTCAACAACCACCAAAACAGCCTTTATCATACAGGGGCAGACGTGGGGCTCACCTGTAGCCATCGATGCAGCTGGCGTTGATGTAGTCCGATCCCTCCACGCCACGGATGGGCTGCAGACAGACCCGGGTGGACTCGAAAGGCATGATGTTCACCAGGCGGTTCTTGAACTTGTTGCAGGGCAGGTTGGCGCTGATGAACCGTGATGTGTGGGCTTTGGAGTTGGCCAGTCTCTGCTCGGTGACAGGTGGAAGGCAGGAGAGAGAGAGAGAAGGAAGAGAGCAGGGAGTTAGCCACCTCTGACCCGCAGTAAACAAACATGGCCGACACTGGTGATCCCCCCCATTGAGATGTGAGAGCGCACTGTCGCGAGCAGAGTGTATCAAAGGAGAGGATGTCTGCGTGGAGTGGACAGGGGCAACAAGATCAGCCGGTACTTTTGCGAGGTTTAACGCTTCGCTTGAAAGGGTACTTTGATTGAAAGAGTCACCTTGGCTTGATGAAAAATTAACCTTTACAAAACATTTCAGAATTGTGTTATAAAACCATAAAGTCAAGGCTATGCTTTTATAACAGAAATACAGCAAATTTTGTATTTAATTGAACTAGAGAAATGAAATTGTTCAGGCAATTCTTTCGGTGGTATGTTCTATACAATATCATTTATATACAAAGCTTCTGCTCTAGCAGCTACATAGATTTTTTAATTCGTCCTTTCTTTTTATCACATGAAACAGGCTCAAAACGCATCACTATAACTTTATACAAACGTAGGTTGGCCTTCACTGTCCGTTAGAAGAGAGCGACATTGTATTACATTTATTTTTAAAGGACTTCTTGTAAAACTGCTTGATTGTTTGACATGTTTCTTCAACTGGAACTCTTGCTGAGCACAAGATAACAGGGCCATTTGTTTGTAAAGTCTGAACAAAAATAGAAATTGGAAAGGCTTTTACATTTTTTGCACCTAAAAAATGTTATAGTTTTCAAACCTTGGCCAAATTGAACATTTCCTCTTAAAAACCGCCTCATTTTGGCTTGTGCACAAAAGTTGGGCATACCCAAATGTCTTTGCTTATTTAAAAACACATCTTACATCTCACATGCTTGTGTGATGCATCATTTTAAAGCTAGAGCCTTCTAGTTTATGTAAAAAAACACTAAAATAATGTTTGTCATTCCTATTTTCCTCTGCATCCTTTGAAGTTTGGGAAAAAACCCCAATTTTTTTAGCCTCGCCTAACATTTTAAATTTCTAAAGGCCCTAAAAAAGGCAAACTTCATTGTAAGTTCCAAATATTCAAACCCTGTGGTCATTGTGTTGTTGACAACAACTGTCTAAAGTTTCAGACTTCTAAGTTTTATAGTTTTTATGCAGTTTCTCCTTTTCATCAAGTAGTGCACATTTGGCACAATTTGGCACAAGTGTGCCAAATTGTGCCAAATATCTTTACTTACATTTAATCATCATAAAAACAATATTTTGTATTATTGGTACTTATAAGTTACTAATCTATGTGTGTTTTTTTTTTTAAATGTCAAAGTTATTTTTTTATGAGTGTAAATTCATTGCAGCTTCGAGAGCGTCTTTTGGCTGCCATTACGCACAATTGTCCAGGCACAACATAAGACAGGACACCATTGTCCCACCCCTTGCTCGAAAGCTTTCCTCATTGGCTACACGGACATGTCAATCGAAAATCCCGGAAATGGAAGCAAACAAGTTGGGACCCCACAAAAGATCAGTGATCCATGCGCAAACAGCAGCGCAAGCTGTACTTACGGGACCTCTTGCAGACCCAAAAATTGGTTTAGCTTTTCGGGAGTAGTCTCATTTGAAAGATAAGGAGCTAAGGAACACGTGGATACCAGATGTTCGGGTGAAAAACAAAGCTAAAAGTCCGTTAAAAGTGAAAAAGCAACATCTGTGCTCGTTTTTTCAGTTTTTTTTCGCTAAAGATAAATGCACATTTTTGGATTATTTCTGCAGAATGGATTTTACTTTGGGAAATACAAGTGGATATAATTTTCCTTTGGACTGTTCCAGAGAGAATGATGTATTGCAAGCTGGGAGGAGAGCTGATTTATTTGTACAGCACAAGCCCAAAGGTAAAAAACTATTTCGGAATTGATTTATTTTGTGCCCACATTATGTGTTATATCTTTTGAATGCAAAGTCTGATGTAGTTTAAACTTGTACATAAATGTAGATAAGAAAATAAGCTTTAAAATGATATACAGCTTTTGGGGTTTGGTGTTCAAAATACATCTGCTATTGCCAGCAGAACATTTAAAAACATAAAAACGGCACGCCGGTTGTTGTAAAGAGGTTAATAATCTGGGTTTAGAACCGTAAAAACGTTTAAAAGTTTTTTTTATCATTTTGTTTGTGTGTTGTGAAACATGAGTCTAGAGCCCGCCCTGTATACACAAAGACAGATTTAAATAGATAAAAAAGAGTCTATTTAAATCTAGAGTAATGTGTGTTCTGGTCTAACTACTGCTACTCTAAACTGATCATCCATGCCTGCTGTAGTAATGTACATTGCATACTTATTGTATTCTAAACACTATCAACATTACGACAACTGAATGCTCTTAAATGCTGCGTTCATTTGCTAAATCCATTTGTTTTACTAGCAACAGGAAGTGGTTTGCATTTAATTTGAATCCACATTTCACTGCCCGTGTTTGGGGGGAGCTGGCGTTGCTGTGGCAATAAAGAGCAGTGGGGATGTTGCGCTCCATGCTGGCAGCTCCGTGCACACAGACGGACCGCGCGGGAGAGAGCAGGCCCACTAAAGCTTCGCTCTGGGATATTTTCTATGAGCCGTGGCCAGGCCGAACGGGCGTCGTGGCTTTGCTTTCACGCCCCCTCACCCATACGCCGCCATTGCTCTCTGTCCGGTCCCTTTGTACGTCGTTGGATCGTGGTTTGCGATCATCACTTCAAACGGAATGGATCGTGGTCATAAGAGGCCTAATGGTAGAGCCACACCGAGAGGAAAGTGTGTAATAACATTGCAGTCGATCGCTATTGACGAAAGCTGTGTGTTTGTGCATGTCACCTTGAACTGTGCCAATGAGTGGGAGGGTCTGGAACGCTGGTTTGAAGCCAAGAGCACTCTAGTAGCAGATAAGAATCTCACTATCGACCATTGATAATGAACTGGAAAGATGTGTGTTGTTTAAGCCGTCATTTATTCTGTTTATTTATATCCTATCCTAAGGCATAATATTTGTCATTACTTTAAATCCTATGCTGAAGCCTAGACAGCTACATAATAGTATATGTCTCCTTTAGGTGTCCCCCAAATGCAATTATAACCTAAAAGGTATAGAGGGAGAAATTTGTACCAATTAAAAATGTGATGTTTCGTCATTACATGGTCTACTTCACTGCCTCACTGTAAATTATTGTGCTCAGAACCCATCATGCGTCTCCTTTTCCCGGCTGCACATTCGCCAGTTGGTCGCCTCTTTATGTACTTGTTTTTTAGGGGATTTTGACGAAAATAGAAGAGCAGTAGAGGAGCAAAATATGACTAAAGTGTGCCTATGGGAAAGCATATTTTGTTACGGAGAGGCAGGACTGGTAATACCTTCTAGTCCAATGGCTCTGCTGAAGCTTTTGTAAGAGTTTATGTTAAGTTTGATACGTTCGAGGCCAGTGATTTTTTGACAGTTTCGACTGCTGTTGCGCACTTGGTGGACACGTGATGTTCTTGTAACGTGTCTTGACTGAAGTTATACTCGATTTTTAGCACAATCTTCCCACCAGAGGCAGGACGGCATAGCGCCATCTACAGTCCAACTTCTTCAGGACAGAATTCGGACAGCAGATGGCTCTTGAAATGAGATCTTGCTTTGGTTACATAACATTTTTCCTTGCACTCATAGGAGGCACATTGCGTTAAGGTTTAATTGCGTCAGAAGCTTACAGTACTGAGAGAAGCAGCAATAGCCACACATAATTAGAGATCAAAGAGCCAATGTGAGTCATGGGAGCGGGAGAAAACATTGACTTGCATAGGAGCGCTGCAGACTCTAAGGTTAAACAGTCCATTTATGAAGAATCACACAACAAACCGTATATCACTAATCTATAATTGAGGACGAGTTGATATGAAGCTATGTTTTACTGATAGCAAAGCAGCCGCTCCAAGGCTAAATGTGTGCTGCTATTTTCAATGCAACGCTACCTTTTCAAGCCAGACTTCCTCAGAGAAGTAGGTCTGAATATTTCATGTTGTTGTTTCATGTTTTTGATCTTTAATACATTATGAAGCAAGCAGATTTGGTTCACTTTCCGCAATCACAATGTGGTTTAATACGCCTCTACTCTCAGTTGTTGAGTGAATCATTTATGCTTTTGTCAAAATTGGCTTTAATCCGACATTCAATTTGCCATCGGTACATCCCTTGCTTTATTCGCCATGGTTACAGGTTCGTTGTGTAACTCACTATTGTTTTATTATTCTTCATATGTGATACATGATTCAGTATTATGCCTGCCCAAATAAGTATTGGGCAGGCATTTTGGCACACACAAACAACTGTGTGCTATTATGATTTGCATTCTGATAAATGGTCAAACTAATTAAACATCATCTATGGAGTATAGATTATAGCTATGTGGCAGACAGGAGAACAATGTGTCTTGTAAGATACCATAATTAATAGGGAATCTAAAAGCAGCAGATGGCTTCAGTTACTCCATTAAAGCAACCCATAGAAACTAATTATACATGAATTGTGATCCAAGCTCTAATATAAAGCTGCGTTGTTGGCGTATCTCCCACTCCTATTCAAGCCAGGGCCTATTGTGCATGCTTTAGATTGATTGCATACGTGTCTCACCTTGAACTCCAGCTCCATGGAGGTGACCGTCTCTCCGGGTGGCGGCTGCGTCAGCTTCTGGATGTGGGCGTACAGGTTGCGTGCTGGGACCTCTGTGTTTCCGCAGGTGGCCGCCTCCAGGAGAGCCTCGTGGATGAAGATGTACTGGTCTTCGGTCTGGACCATGTAGTTCCTCTGGGCCCTCATGCAAGTCACATGGCCGTAGATGTCCACAGACTTCTCGTGCTTCATGCGCTCCAGCATTGCATCGATCACAATGAAGCAACCTGTCCGGCCCACGCCCGCGCTGAACAGGACACATCCGCAAAGGTTAACAGCTATTAATATAACGCCAGGCATGGACAATGGCACGGCTATACAACAGACAGGAGACATTTATCTTCTTTATGCTGCGGCTGTGTATGGATATCAGGATAGCATGGGGACATTATTGGAGGGACTGGGTTATGGAAACAATTCACTTTTTTTCTCACCAGCCAGTCTGATACGGAAATAGTATTTTTCATTATATTCAAATTAACAGCATAATTTAAACGTCAGAATTTACAAAGATAGCCGACATATAGCATAATTTTGTGTGGGTGTAGTACCATTAACGCTAGGGTACCCAACATGCTTCCATTGATGGAACATTCTGTGAAGAATTCAAAAACTTTTGCATACTTGTAAGATCCTAATTAGACACTTTGGGCTGAGAGCTGTATATTTTTTACTTTTCTGTGAAAAAGATCTAAAGATGTGATAGAGGCCAAAAATACGGGAAAGTGATAGATTATAAATGTTTTGAGAGCGAGGAACTAGTTGTATGGATCTTATTACATAGCTCCATTGGTTGTCATTGAAAAGTTGGGTGAAACAGCAAAAAACAAAATCTTAAATATTTCATCAAATGAATTTTTTTGTCTTTAGGTCTATGAAGAGGTATGAACTTAAAACATTTACTAAAAGACATTGTAAACAAAGACAAGTAAGATAGGACCCTTTCTTTCGTCTATACCAGGTGTGTCTCTTTTAGTAAGAGGGCCTCTTTAGTTCACTAGACTAGTGCAGGGGCCGACATCATGGACTGAAACACTGTCTTGACTGGCATCGGGCTGTTCTGAGATTTATGATGATCTATAACAGAGCTGAAGTTGGCTGAATGACAAATGTTTACCATCTCACCAGCTACATTAGCACCAATAATGCAAGTGACATGATAAAAAAAACACGTCAGTACAGTATGTACAAATAAAGTCAACAACGGACTGGGCTTAAGAACAAGGTCTATATTGGCTGAGCTGAAGTTGGATGGATGACAAAGTGAATTTGTGTTTGTGATCTCAAAGACTATTTCGGGTTAGCAAGGCAGAGGGCCACATAAAATGACACTGAGGGCCACAATTGGCCCCTGGGCCTGAGTTTGGTCATGCCTGGTCTATACAATACAATATATCTACAAACCTGCAGTGGACCACCATGGGCCCAGCGTCCGGAGGGTTGCAGGCCTTGACCCGTCTGAGGAAGGCCAGGATGGGGGTGGGGTACTCGGGTACGCCGTGGTCAGGCCAGGCCATGAACTGGAACTGTCTCACTTCTCGCTTCTCACTCGAGCCATTCTGCATCACAAAGTCAAAGTCAAGCCAAAAAGCTCATATACAGTACATATACTTAGAAACAGAGTGGTACAAATATCATGAATGGTATTTTGGGGGAACAGGCATTATGAAACAAGGTGGGAGCTCTAACTTGAATGTTCAATAGAAGAGATATTGGATATGCATGTAGAAATGTCATTTATTCATAAAATATCAGTGATTGAAAGGATTTAAAATGTTAATGTCGTAAAGTAGGCCATCATAATTTCTATAGTTAGTGATACTGGAGAAATTTCAGACCTGGACAAACATATCTAAAGTATAAAGTATCTATATTTAAAAACATTTTTGAGTCAAGAATGCTGAAAATATTTGGATAGCTGAACTAACAAATACACAAGCTCTTACAAGAAATGGGCCAATCTGACTCAATGGTTTAAGAAGTTCAGATAACAGTGAAACTTGGAACATTCCGAACTCTTATCAGACTCCTGAAATAGATGGTTTCAATCAGGAATGTGACAATACAGAAAATCTGACTTTAATGAGGATCTGCAATAGGCCAAGAAACGATGGGAAGTCCCTGGTAAAAACTATAGGACTAGAGGACAAAACATGTGACGAATCATCAGCCCGCTTCATCAAGTGGAGAAATGAAATCCTTTATTGCGGCTCAGAGAACAAGCGACAAATCGTGGATCTAAAAAACCAATTACAGTCGTGAAAAAACCATTCCAGTGGTTATCAGTTCACGCAAAAATAAGAAATTGCTTTTTAAAATGTGACCTTGGTAATGAGGAAGTCCAATTATCTCGAGGAAACTTGCCCTTTGCAGACTGGCCTTGGCTGAAGACTTAAAATAGTATAAAGAATGTGTTTTATTCTCTTAACGTGTGGACAGCTGATAATTGGTTTGAAGTCATGGAACAATCTATTGGAACAGGGAACTTTAGGACCAGTAATCTAAGGACATAGTTACAAAATGACTTCAAAATGCATCCGTTTTATAGAGCAAACAGTATTCTCTCAAGAAATGCCACATAAACAAATTCAACCATTTATATTAGGTGTTTTTACAGATCAAATCAATTTCTCGTTAATTAAATATAGTTAGTTTATCATTGCCACTAAACTATTGGCTGATAAAAGTCAAATTTCAGTGAATATTGACAACGAGAGCAATCTTTAAAATATATAAGCTTAAGTTTATGGTAAACTTTTGTCATGTCCACACAAAGCTGGCATATCAGCAAAAGTATTTAGTCTAATTCAGGCACCATCCACACAATTCTGGTAAATGTGAATAGTGGAAACATCACCGAGGACGCACGACTTTGAATCCGCCGTTTCCTGCACCTTGTCGCTAATATCATAAAAAAATATATAAATCTATCCTGATATTTAGCTGAACATACAAATGTTTTTCCACATCTCATTCAAATCTGAATGAAAAATGAAAAATAAAAATATGCTCTCCTTTTCTCTTCAGCAGCTATTCATTCGAGACTTTAGTGTTAGTGTTAGTGTTGGGGTTAAGAATAAGGGGGGTATACTTAACACTGTAGTTTTCCTGTCACAGTGCCAGGTACATGTATTACAACACTCTCGGGTGAATTAAATCTGGCATCAGCTGTAAATGGACCACACATGTTGACAGACATAGTTCCACCTGAATGCAGTACGGTTTCAAAACTGTTGCTCATTTGTGTGGACTTGACCCTATTGTCCTCTGCATTTGACCATCATTCCAAACCTATATTAGTAAAGCACCACTCAGCTTCACTGGAATATTTTACATTTGCTGCATGTTCTTGAGTTGCCACAATGTGAAACTAAACAATTTTTCTGTATGAAATTCTCCAGTTTTGCACACGCTGACAATTCCTTAACATGTCTAAACGTTGCATGGTGTGATTTAGGAGAGCAACATGGCCAGACTAACACTCTGCTTACTGCACATGTAACCTCTAATGAAAAATGGCACCCATTACCTTGTAGAGGGCGAACGTGCGAACGCTGTAAGTGGCCAGCTCCACTGTGTCCAGCATGGTGACCTGGATCATCCCATAGGTCTCCGTGCCCCGCACCGGCCAGTACTGGTCACACTTCACCTGGCACAGAGAAAAGGTGATAGATTATGAAGGGAAAGAAACAGGGGAGAGATAGCACAATGTCAGCAATGGAACATCCAGCGTGAGGTGCAGCGACTTGTCGGATCAATGATTAACAAGGAGCCACATCAGAGGGTCACATCAAAGTCTCCACTGTCCAGCGTCTAATTAAAACAAGGGTCGTTTGCTCCGTCACTGCAGACCTGTGTTTGAGACGGCGTTCAAAGGGAGAATGAATGCCGCCCGTGTCCTGACGAGGCTATGATCATTTGTAATTGGGCGGATTACAAGTCTTTTGTCATGTAAGCTGATGGTGATGATTGGGAGCCGACTGGACACAGCACAATTTGGCTCGTGGTAACAAGGACAGACGGCAAACCAACTGGACAGCGTAAGGAATAGAATTAGAATTTCAGAATAGATAGATACTTCATTGATCACCCATAGGAGAAATTAAGATAAGATAAGATAACCTTTATTTGTCCTACAGTGGAGAGATTTCAATGTTGCAGCGCACATACAGGATACAGTAAGAGCACACAAGGGGCATACAAAATATATATACTATAAGTAGCTGCTATGATTCTTAGCTAGCTGTAAATGCTTCAATATTGATATATCTTTCAAATCTATATAAAGTGACATTCTGAAATTGCTGTATTGCACAATTCAGATGTCCAGCACATCCACATCCATCTATATAAAACACATAAGTACATAAAACATAAACGTTTCTCACTAACTAACTTCAACACGTAGCAAAATGGTATTCACGCTTGCTCAAAGAAGTCGCGATTCTTTGAATGATGCAGGCATAATAATCATATTTGTCTTTTATAGAATCTGTTGTTTTCAAGATTTGAAAAAGAAACGGGTTATCATTACATCTCCTATCCTATATTGCTTTTGAAAAGGAACCACGCAGTTTGTATTGAAAGCAGCACATGTTCTCTCGCCTGGCACAATTAGTAAAAGGTTGAGTAGTTGAAAAGTTTTGGAAAATTGAAGCCCTTAGTAATGACTGCAAAGTAAATAAAACATAGACAACTTAGAATTGCTAAATCTGTCTGTTATGAGGGGCAGAAGGTTGGACCACCTGGTTTAGTGTGTGTACAGGGCTCACCTCACCGTAAACAGAACGAGAAATTCACAAAATTCAAACTTTGCAAACTCATTTACATGACAGGAAGACTTTCACCAGATTTCACCGCTCTTCACTTTGGCAGCGACAGAAGTTTAATGGAATCGGATTGTTCTGATCCAACATTTAAAATTCACCTCGAGCAGTCGTTTAGGAGGATTTAAAACATTGGCTTTTCAACAGCAATAAAAAGATGCCGTGCCGCTTTTAGACAGAGAAAAATGTATAATTTAAATAATCAAAATTTTAAACACATTTCTTTATGCTCTGAAACATATTTGAAAAATGCTGCAAGAATTGGCAAATCTTCAATGAAACTATTCTACAGTAAAAAGAGAATCTTTTGTAAAAGCTTACAGACATTTTTGAATATGCTTTGGATAGAATCATCATACCCAAATGCAGACATCTGTTCAATTACAGGCTTATTTAATGCTGAAAATGTACACCCACAATATCAAACATGCAACTTGTGAGTAAAACTGTGGTATAGGTTGAATTCATGTTATAGGATGCCAATACAAATCCTATTGTTTGTTTGATAGACAGAATCCAGCTGTAGAATAACAGCCTACATTTGTTATTTGAATATTGTCACACCAGTTTTAGACACCTTCATGAACACAATCTAACCTAAAGAGGTATTGAAGTAAATATCACATGCACTGGTGTGCCTGCTCCTGTCAGACGGTAGAATGAACAATAGAGACTGATGAACACTGGGGACCTGGACCTGCGTGTCATAAATCTGTGAACAGAACGTCGTGCTGCTAACATGTACAGTAGTATCACCTGCTGCTAACATGTACAGTAGTATCACCTGCTGCTAACATGTACAGTAGAATCACCTGCTGCTAACATATACAGTAGTATCACCTGCTGCAAACATGTACAGTAGCATCACCTTCTGTTAACATGGACAGTAGTATCACCTGCTGCTAACATGTTCAGTAGTATCACATGCTGCTTACATGTACAGTAGTATCACATGCTGCTAACATGTACAGTAGTATCCATGCTGCTAACATGTACAGTAGTATCACATGCTGCTAACATGTACAGCAGTATCACCTGCTGCTAACATGTACAGTAGTATAGTATCCATGCTGCTAACATGTACAGTAGTATCACATGCTGCTAACATGTACAGTAGTATCACATGCAGCTAACATGTACAGTAGTATCACCTGCTGCTTACATGTACAGCAGTATCACCTGCTGCTAACATGTACAGTAGTATCACATGCTGCTAACATGTACAGTAGTATCACCTGCTGCTAACATGTACAGTAGTATCACCTGCTGCTTACATGTACAGTAGTATCACATGCTGCTAACATGTACAGTAGTATCACCTGCTGCTAACATGTACAATAGTATCACCTGCTGCTAATATGTACTGTAGTATCCATGCTGCTTCCATGTACAGTAGTATCACCTGCTGCTAACATGTACAGTAGTATTACATGCTGCTTCCATGTACAGTAGTATCACTTGCTGCTTCCATGTACAGTAGTATCACATGCTGCTAACATGTACAGTAGTATCACCTGCTGCTAACATGTACAGTAGTATCACATGCTGCTTCCATGTACAGTAGTATCACTTGCTGCTTCCATGTACAGTAGTATCACATGCTGCTAATATGTACAATAGTGTCATCATCAATATTTGAACCCACAGAGCTAATCACTAGAGTGTATTAGAGATGTATCTACAGATAAAGGGGTGTGTAAAGGATCAACAAACAGTCCGACTTACAACCAAAACAAAAGAACCCAGCTCCGGTCCGTGATATTGTTGCTACAAACGGCTCTGGCTGCAATCGATGCAGACCACATAACAGCCCGAGATGTGGCGCAGGTAGCCTAATCATATTGATATAGCAGTGTAGAGCTGACATTTGCGAGCCACTCCTTCGGCAGCTGAGGCAATCATACTGGATCTGAGATGAAGCAAGTATAAATGTCATGCCGTCACGTTTCCTTGGCTCTGACAGCATCCTTCAGGACGCATTGGTACAAGGCGCGCGACAAACTGCGTGAGTGATAGAGCAACGCAGGCAGAATAAACATATGGATTTAGCAGTCAGCGCTGTAATGAATATCAGCTTAGAAATCTGCCAGTACACGCAGGGCCAAGCTATATGCACATAACAGGCAATAAAGGGTGAATATTTCAAGTATATATAATACATCTGTCCTCGGCAGCTTTTTTACAGCACATAGAAGTCCAAGCTGTAGCCACACATACACATAGTCTGTACAAAACTGGCTTTTAACGTGCACGGTTACACAACTGTGGTGGAAGCACTTTTCAAACATAATTGTCATAAACGCTGTTCCAATCACAAGATAAGATAAAACATTTATTTGTCCCTCAGTGGGGAAATGTGTATGTCATAATTGCGCACATTACATTATTATTATAATAACCAATAAACTCTATAAGTATAATTGCACTTGGGTCAAGGATAAGTCACCTGTGGAGTATACACTGTAGTCAGCAGCAGTCATGAGGTTTCACAAATGGTTGGTATTGTACTTTAGCAGCAGAGAAAATGACCATATAAAAACAAAAACAAAAGTAATAGAATAAATAGAAGCCTACATCAGCTACGATCAAAACCGGTGCTAGTTTACTCGTACAGGTACGTCCATTTTTTTCTGAAAGTATACACAACATATATTCTTTGTGCGCTGACGGCACCTGCAGTTTCAGGTCTGATTTAATGTCTATTTTTGCTAAATGATAAATTTGCTAAATCTAAACTAATTAGCGAACTCAGCAAGTGTTTATGTCTGTGTTTGTCTTTTAAAGTTTTTTTTCTTTTTAAGATGCATTTTACTGGTGAAATATCCGGCATCACATATAATTAACCACCATGAAGAGAAGCAGGTAACACTGGGGGACTAATCAGATCCATGCGGAGGAGAGTTTACCTTCACAATTAAACACACAACAAATTTAACAGTTGAAATCCATCTACTGCTGATGTACAGGTGCAACTCAGATATATAGAATTACATGCAAAATTATGTATCCAGCCTTTCTTTCTCATATTGTTGATAATTGGCTCATAGCTAGTATAAACCCCAAATAAAACATCTGAGAAAATTTGAATATTTCGAAAAAGACTGTAAGCCATTATTCTACAAAGTAGGGCATAGCACAGGGGTGTTAAAAAGGTCCTCAAAGGCCAGACTCCGCCCATTTATTCAGTTGAGTCCAATTTTTCACCTGAACATCTAAAGAAATGTGTGGTGTCTGTTCATGCTCAGGTTGGATGTATGTTCGTTAGTAACTTAAACTGGCCCTTTCGGGTGTGTGTGCGACCTCTGGACAGAGCAGTCGCATTCTCTTGCTGCTCCTCGCTTTCTGCTTTTTTATCTCCTTTAATCATTTTTGCTTACATTTTTATTCCACAAAACACGGATTACTCCTTTTTACAAACTTCAACACAAGACTTGTGGAATTTACCTAACTTACAGCATGTCGGGAGGACGGGAAAACAGAACAAAACTTTGCGACGGCTGTTTTTCACTCAAACAGGAGCTAAAACTTCTTCAAGACCGAATGTTTGTGCTTGAATCAGAATTGGGGCTGAACACAACAATACCAATGAAGGGAAATGGACCAAATGGACAAAACGTAAGTTATGATGACGCTATTTCATTTCCCAAAATCAACAGAGACAATTGTTGGAACACATATGGTGCCAAGCCCAAACAAGGCAAAGCTAATGATAACAAGAGTGTCATAATGCCACAGCAAAAATCTTTAATTACAAGAAACCGCTTTTCCCCACTTTTGGAAGATGAATCAGCAGTAGTCTCTCAGTCCCAGTCTCAGTCTCAGT